ATTGATTGCATTGGAAGGCGGAAATAGTTTCTGCAATAGAAATAAAACTGTCAAAGAATCTAAATACATAATTATAAACAAGTAGTTAATAACGAAATATATACTGTATACTGCGAAAATCGCAAACACACATAATTATTATATAACATATACAAGAAGAAAAAAGGAACCCCTTATTTATTTGAAGTCGGTTACAATTACCTTTTTTCTATATCCTGTTCTGGGAACTCGGCGAAGTCCACGTTTTGTGTCGTTCAAGTCAGTCTTATCAAAATGGTCTGAACAAACAACGCTAGATGAGGATGGAGGAGGATACCATTGTAGTTCATTTCAGCTTAGTCTTATAGCAGCTACCCATTCATCTCTTATTAAAATATTCGTTGGAAGCCTAAAATCATAAATTTTTTTATGATAATAGAATAATTCTAAGTACTCAAGAATTAAAAAAAAACATCAGCGAGTTAAAAAAATTTATATTTACCTTGACTTGAATTTGATGTTACATAATAACACGTAATTAAAAAAATATGTTGACTACATATACTTCTATGACTTAACCTAAAATTAACTACTCAAATCTTGGACTATTAGAAATAAGAAAAACTGGCAACATTCTCCCGTTACGTAATCTCGGAATTGTGCTTCAAATAACCTTTAAAATTGTGTTGGAATGACAAAATAAAATATATTTAAATGAGTGCTTATGTGTGAAACGATATTCCTTCAGACTTTTTGTTCACTTTAGTATTGTTTTTGCACCATTTAATTACAAATGGCGGCATTTTGTAGGCAAATTTACGGCACGACGCCCCGAGAGGTACTGACGAAAATGAGCGTAGTTTGATGCATGTGTGTGCGTGAACGCGTGTGTTTACAGGCGCAGGTTGAGCAAAATGTCGCGCCAGTCGTTATTTGGGCAGTTTTTAAAAGCTATCTACTTTTTATTTAAAAGATATATCAACAAATAAAAAACACATTATATTTCTACATAATCTTGATTCCATAAAAGCTATATCCAATTTTTTTTTAAAGGAATAAATATTAATATAATCTCCTTACAACGAAACCACATAAATGTGAAATTATTATTGATAACATGCATCTCCTCGTAAAGTAAGTATTATTTTATTTTGCGATTTACACCAATGGATAGGCAATTTATTAATGAACATTTCTATAGTAAATTTTTTTTCAAAAGACCAATATTTGATTTTATTAAGAAATTATTTTAAAATCTGGGCATATTTACTGCTCACGGGCTTGGTGAAGTCAGTGAGCGCTGAGCTCTTCGACGAGAAGCCCGTGTCGTTAGAGCGTCGACCAACGCATACGCCACGTCATATGAGTCGATAATATTATTACTTATTAGGTTATTTATAGGTAGTATTATTTGTTTGTTTTGGGTATAATTTTTCGTATTAGTTATACATATATTTGTTGTGCTTTTTACTGCGCGATGAAGCTTTTTGCGTGTATTTTCTTTGAAGTAAATGCAAATAAAAAAATGAAGCACCATTAGCATGTAAGGTTCGAAATTTCGAATCCATAATTAAAATTTCGACAAATATTATTAATTTACACTATAAAAGGCTAATTCAATATTATCACCCAACCACAATATCTTATCAGGTATAGTGCTGCCTCGTTGGTCTAGTGGTTGTAGTAGTGCGACTGCTGATCATGAGGTCCCGGGTTCGAATCCTGGGTCGGGCCAAAAAGTCAGTTATGAGTTTTTCATTTATGTTCTAAGTTATAATTAGTATTACTAAGTTATAGTTTTTTGCTAAAATATAGTATATTATTTATTGCTTGTTTTTTCTTCTTTTTCAAAAAATAATTGAGTACATAAGGTGTTCTATACTTATAATTCGGTAAAAAGTACTAATATACCTACTTTTTACTATAAACTAAAAATTTTTAAAACTAAATTTAACTAAAAAGACTAAACTGACCATTTATTTTTTAACTCATAACAGGACATGGGTTTATTTATACTCTAAAAACTATAACTTTATACAATTAGTGTTCACTATAAAATTATATTCGGTATAGACGGTAATTATTAAATGCAACATATTTTTTTTAATTATTAATTACATTTGTCAGTGGATTAAATTTGCTGTAATAAAGTTGGTGATGATTATAAATAAGAATAAAATTCTGCTCAAGTTTTTTATTGTTATCTTTGTTAACAACATCGCCTTTAGAACTCTGGAACCGTAAGTGTTTCTTTCAGACGTCCACAATTTATGCAAAATAAAAAAATACTCTTTCTACCGGAGCATTCGTACCAGGTAGACATAAAATATATTCGATTAAAAAAAACTATGTTGAAGATTGTTGACTTTGAATACTTCCATCCAACGAGTTACGGGACAATTTTGTGTCCCGGAGCTTTGTTTGGGGACAATGGGACAGGAGACCGAGAAAAGGGACAGTCCCGTTCAAAACGGGACGTATGGTCACTTTAGCTATAACCCGGCGACCATGAAGCAAATACAAAGTTAGTTTTTGTATTAGCTTCATGGTGGCGCAGTGGCTTAGCAATCAGTTGTTGCGCTGGGGGCCGCGGGTTCGAATCCCGCATGGAACAAGTATTTGTATGGCCTACAAATAATTGTTCCGGGTCTGGATGTTTGTCTTTGTGCAATATTTATGTTTGTAAACTGCCTCCACGACACAGGAGAAAATCCTAGTGTGGGGGTAACGTTTTTTTACAACTGAAATTGAAAGATTGAACCCTTATACTTCTTGTTGATTTTTGTATTACCTTTATTAAAGTTACCCTTATGTATAAATAAATATAATTACGTATGTAGAAATAAAATTGATTTTCATCCTCATCAATCATTGGGGTGAGGATAATAACTGCTAGCATAAGTAATAAGCAGGCTAAGTTACAAGGTGCTCAGTTCAAAAATTAGTAGGTAACTTTTCAATACGTGACACGTAAAAATTAACAATAATCAAAAACACATATGCGAAACATCCTATTTATTTATTTATTTTTTATTGCACCAAATATTTGTACAAAAGCCGAGCTATCTATTTATTTACCTATAGTGAATAGGTATCTTTTAAACTCACAATTTTCAATGCTTCAGTTTTAATATATAATTAATTATAAAATTTCATAATTAGATAATATATGAAAATACATAATTCTAATATAATGCAACTAATATATACAGAATAAAAAAATTAAAATACATTTATCTTTGTACGCTATGTGTATTTCCATAAAATAGTTTATTGATGTTGAAAAAATAATACTACTTTCGTACAATAGGTGGCGTCTTACATATTTCTTCCGGCGAGCCGCTCGCTACAGCTACGCTTAGGTCAAATGCTCAAGGTCGTTCGCATGGAGTAGCCCCTTAAAGGAGCGGAGTTTTTTGGCTTCACCAATAACAAAGACCGCGCAGTATCTACCTTTTTTTACTTCATCTGAGGTTTTTAATAAAAGTTTATCAGTTTCTAGAGTATTATATTAATACACAAAACAATGCGTCAGTGGTTTGTCCTTTAATTTTTTGCACATTTTTAATTTTTTTTAATTTTTCTACTTTTATGAATATCTGTGGTTTGGTTTATTTATTTTTAATGTTATTAATATAAAATATAGCTAATAGTACAAAAAGAAACAATAACTTTTAAATTTTTCGAACAAATTAACTTCCCCACTATGAAATCTGTCAAATATTATACCTCACGTTTTAGTGGCGCCGCCCTGGTGGCAGAAAAGTCATGGATGCTCTCATTCCCCGAAATTATCTGATTTATTTAACTGATTTGTAGTGGCGATGTATGAATATCCACTACTTCATATCGTACCGTAGGTGTAGTAGAGGCAACAGAGGAAAACAAACTTAAGTTATAAATAAGCAAACTATGCTTATAAATAGTCTAAAAAAACCATGAGATAGGCAGCAGCGTCTTGCTAATAAAATCTAAAAAAAAAAATATATCTGCCACTGCCATTCCACCTGCTAAGCGTGGCCACTATGGCAAATATCCACCTTATGAGGTAATCTATCGGGGTGGCAAAGACAAAAAATAATAAAATTTGTTTTTTATGTTATTCTATTTTTTCTCTCTTTGATTTGGATACTTCTATGTAAAGAACATGCTATCTATTAAATAATATATTTACCCCGTACCTATTATTTGAAGCCTTAAATAAAACAAACAGGGGAGGTTTATGTCCAACAATGGACTTTGTCTTTTTTATAGTATAAGGGTGTCAAAGAAGCACACAGTCCACCTAATGGTAAGTGGTTGCTGCGGCCTAAATCTTTCCTCGATTACGAATCAAAATGCAGATGCGTCGTCACCCGTGAGGACTAAGATGGAATGCCTCTTTTTAAATAAAAGGGGTCTCCGGTTCTCTGCACTCACCATACGAAACACAGCAGCGTTAAGCTGCTATTTTACGCTGGTATTCTGTGATTTTGATGATATTGTAGAGGTAAATAATATTGTCGGGGGTAATGGTGATATATTTAGCGGTGGCTGTTATGGTCCATTAAAGAAGATGAGAAGGTAGCTCAAGAATAAAGCTGTAAATTTCACAATATTCCCCCCAGTGCAGCAACTCATTGCTAAGCCACTGCGCCACGAAGCCGTCAAATCTGCCGTCTATTACTGTTGTTGCAACCTATCAAAGTCCTCTGTACATAGACCTCCCCATAGATTGCTTTATAGGGGGGATAACTGCCGTAGTTTCCACGCTCAGCAGGCGGGTTAGCAACCCCAGTTTTTAAGAAGACACTGCTGCCCATCTCCTGGTTTGTTTCCCCCTGTCGCCTCTTACCACACGTATGGGATGATATAGGGTAGTGAATTTGGAGCAGGTTAGGCGATGAAATAAAATACTAATAAATAATAAGAAAAATATCCTTTAATTATATTTTAATTGCAAAACACAGTTTATCTCTTAGGAACAACAACAATAATATATTTTATAAAAAGAATTTTTTAAGAATAATTTTTAAACTTAGTTAAAAGTCGAAATCGTCGCTAGCAGGTGACGCAACACCGCCCTGAGGGTACTGGGATTCTGGTTCATTTATAATCGAGTTTAACGATTCAGGGAGGTAAGTTTTAGAAGTATCTGTAATAAAAATGACTTAATGATTAGTTTTAATTTTATTTTACTACATTTTTTATGTTCGTTTCTTTATTGATGTTGGATTCTTGATCCTCTCCAGCAAAAGTAACAGATTTTTTTCTGAAATTGTACGCTGTTGACTCTGCGGCCTTGACAGCTTCATCGAATTAGGCTCGTAAGCGAGGACCTACGAGCTATTGAGTGCAACGATTCTGCCGGCGGCGAGGCGGCTCGAAGCGCCACTTCTCCGACTGTAGTCCCGAAGCACCCTGACCCCTGCTTTCGGAGTGAGGCTCCTCAAGCTAGGAGAGGGCTCGATATGATTCAAGGGCACCTCAGAAGGAGGTTCGAACCTCGGCTTCAACCACTAGCGCAGTGTGGGTTACGGGTTACTAAGCTAAAAACTCCCCGTAACACGGGTGTTGAACATCGTGTACGGGGAGCTGTGTTTGTGACCTCGCGTTCGCCGGCGAACGTGGTGTGCACTAGTGTTCTGTATTAGAGTATAGTAGTGTCTGAATGTGTGTGTGTGTTGATATTAAATAACCGGGTTCATGATGGCTTTACTCTTATGAGGGTTCAATTCGATACTCCATTTTCTGCACTAAACGCCTAGTGCGTTTGGTGCAGCTTGAAGCCGAATGCGGATTCTGATAGGATGGCCATCTGAAGAATAGATAGTTGTATCATCTGCGTATAGTGCAAGATTTGGTAACTATTTTGGTACTATTGGTAGATATTTGGTAACGATGTGATTTCACTTACATAGAGTGAGTATAGGGTCGGTAAGAGCACAGAGCCCTGGGGAACTCCTGCTCTGATGGGTCTGGAAGAGGATATAAAGGGTCACAGTCAGAAAGGACGCATCCCTACATGTAGGCCCTATTGACACGCCTCAATCAACTAATTTAGAGGCGTCCGTTTGCAGAGTAGCCATGACCGGTCCTCAACTGATCACGGTAGCCTCTGTATATCTCTCTCCTAAGAAAAAAGTATTAAAGGGCGTTTTCTAACTCTGTTATTTTAGCAGCAAAAGTAGAGAAAGGTGTCATAGAAATTAAGGTTGCCAGCGAACGGAAGCGATGAATCGTTAAATTCACAAGGTTTAAGGCTAGGTGTTTCAAGCGCATTAGGTATTTACAGGCGGTCCTCGGAAACATCGAGTCGGGCCGCGCATATGATCGTGATTTTTACAAAATAATCGTAAAAATATTGTATTATATAAATATTTACACAATGAAAAATAAACACACAAACAAAAGCTTAACTATGGTCTTAATTTACATAAAACTATAGTTATTTACAGTTTATTTTATTTCCGAAATATTATTTACGTAGCAGAAGAGGAGCGCGCGCGCAGAAGTTTGGCACAGGTTTTTTTAATAAATGTAATGAAAAAAAAACGATCGGGTGGAATCGATTCCAATTGATATTTTTTAAAGAAAAAAGGATGTATTAGTACTTGCTTAAAATGAAATTTGGCTTGTAAAAAAACCGCAAATCGAACGTAGTTCGGTAATTTTTTCTATTGAGAAAATTGTATTGTATCATGTATTAACCTAGTGCGTAACGAAAGGAGAAAGAATGTATTAAAAATATTTTTTTTTTCAGATTCTAAATATAATAATTTGGCTATCAAAAACTAATTCTAAAACTGACAAAAACAGGAACACCCAGCCTTAACATAAATGGTGTTATCGCTATGACTTGTATGATACGTACTAATATTTACTTGTTTTAAGTCTTTACAAAGAAGGAAAGTAAATTTATTTGTTAAAAGAAACCAACACACATTTTACAAATGACTTAATAGATTAATCAACTTATAACAACAGCACTATAATATTTAAATTAAAAAAAATTAAAAACCCCCGAAACAAAAAGAGTTGATGATCTTCAAACGGCTGAACTAGATGTTCATGGCCACAGCATCCACTTACCATCAGGTGGAATGTGTGCTCGTTTGTTACCTTTAATCTAAAAAACATACATAGAGCTTTGCTGAGCAATTCGGTTTGACGTGTCGTTAGAGATTTCACCATCCCGTGGGTATTATAAAAGACGACAGAGGGAAACTGAAACAGATGCTGCTAATTGTTCTGATAATAATTATTTTTAATAATTATTATTATCTTTTAATAAGCCAATCTGCAGCTGCCAACCTGCTTGCCAAGCGTGGCAACTATAGCGAAATCCTCCTTTAGGCAATCGATGGGAGAAGACAATGTTAAGTAGTGTAACTTTTGATGGAATTTACTAATACAACCTATATATGTACGTCTCCTCTATTTTTAAGAGGCTTTTAGGGCAAGGAAATGTCCACCGCGCTGCCCCAATGCGTGTTGACAAACTTCACATGTCTTCGAATTTTTTTTCTTATTTCTCAGACATGCAGGTTTCTTCACGATGTTTTCCTTCACCGCCGAGCACGTTGGCTTTTGATAGGCTATTATGAATGGTGATAGATGAAAGAATGAGAGCGATTGAATTACCATTATCAAATGAACCGGTTGCAGTGTCCGGGTTACTGTCAACATGTACTGCCATAGAATTAGACGCCTGTAACGTCTTGTTTACTTCTGCCTGTTCTGTATTATTATTATCAGAAGCTATATTATCATTGTTTAAGGTGTTTATGCCGATTTGTGCTTTAGCCTTTTTAAATATCTTCTTGGGTTTCATAGCTTTTGCGTTTCGCTTCTTCGGTGTGCCTTCAACGGGCTTCAATTTACGTTCATAATTTTTAACTGGAGTATTATCAGTATCAGAGCTATCGGATGGTAATTCGACGTTATACTTCCGTTTGAGATGTCGCCTATACTTTTCTATATCGGCTTTGGTTATTTTAGCCGGGCTTAAAATGTTGCCTTTGTATCTCGCTATGAAGCTGTATTTAGCGAGACGAGACGAGACTGGTAGTTTTGCTGCGTCATCTGCTTGTTTTATAGCTGTTATCAAGCGCTTGCTATATTTTTTCGATTGTAACCCGCGGTCCGCTAACTTTTTACTGTTGCTATATGATACAATATTCTCGGATGCGATCCAAGCTCGTGTAACGTCGTTTTTATCGAAAAACGCTACATTGTAATGTGTCTGAAAATGGTAGTTAAATGTAAAATTGCGTTTGAAAGGCTTCAAATTTACGATATGATTCTTAACAATATGAATGCCTAATTGATCAAGTAGTAGTAAACGCGATTGCATAACGTCCTGGGTTCGAATCCCGAGTCGGGCCAGTTATTGGGTTTTTCTGTCAGGAAATTCTAAATAGCAACTTGGAAGTTAAGAAGTGCCTCGGAAAACACGTAAATCCGTTGGTCTGTTGGTTGTTGGTTCATATTTCTCCGGTCGAGTCGGACTGCCGTCCCATCGGACTATGAGAGTGAGGGAATAGAGAGTGCACCTGTGCTTGCGTATACCACTCGGGCACCTTAATTCTGTCCTACGCAGATGGCTAATCACCGTTGAGGCCGGCCGCCATAATAGAAATTCGGTCTGGAGGACATTATAGACATAGCGCATAATTAAGTACAGACCATCAGGTGAACCACATGCTCGTTTGCTCCCATTTATTTTTTTAAAAAAGAACTGGTTTAGTGCGAATATCATCACTATTAAAATAGTGATTAATTATAAAATGCATTGCACCTTTACATGAAACATCCCTGGCGAATAGTGAAGAGCACAATTGCATTATTTAATCAACGTTGTTAGCGACTTATACGATGTATGGAAATTGAAACTAAAACTATTGATAAATAAAGTTAACTTTTGACTGTGCCTCCTGAGTCATTATCTAATATAATAAACTGCAATGTATTGTACGAATCAGCCATGGAGTTTCTCACAAATCATACGTTTGCCATTATTGGTCTCTGGACTACAGCGACCACTTACTATCACGTGGACTGTGAGCTCGTTGTCTCCCTTATTTTTATAAAGTTACGCGTACTAGTAAAAACCCCATACTTTTATAAATTTACGCGTATTAGACCAGTTACGCGTGCCAAACGTGCTGCTTTTGCACCAACAAATCGAGCATTAACACTTTAGGGGACATACTCACTCAGCACGATGAAATTGACCTACTTGCAGACAGTATAACACGCCTGCTGACTCTTTTTTATAAAATTATTGATGATTTGATATGACAATTAATAATTTGACAATTTAATTTCGTTGACTATGTACTATTTTATATTTTATATTTAAGATGTAATTTTAAATATGGGCATATTAGGATTGTTATTAGTTTTTATTAACATTGCATTATGAATTGATATGACAAAATACTGTATAATTATTAATACTTTATTGTTTTAATTGGCTTTATTACAGTTTTAATTTCTTGACACGGGCTGCTAAAAGCTTCGAGATTTTATATTAGTATTATTTTATAATTAATTAATTTATGATTACAAATTTTGAATTTCTTTTTTGCATGTAACATTTAACCTTGTGTGCGTATTGGATTTTCTGTACAGCCACAAGTTTTTTGAATTAAATAAATAAATAAATAAAAAATAATTAATGTCAATGGAAATTAATTTAAATTTAATATTAGTTGACCCAAGGTAACCCTTTGTTTGAGGCTTCACAATAAAGAATAAATAAACAAAGATGTGGCAATGAATGCAGTAAATATTTTATAGCGTACTTTTACCATCAGGTGGACTGTGACCTCGTTGTCACCCTTAGTTTTATAAAAAATAATTAACGTGAAGATAAATTATTATTAATTTAATATAAGTTGACCCAATGTGGATTACATACTAATATTAGTTGACCCAACGTTACCAACATTGAGTCAACTAATATTAAATTTATATTTAAGAGTTACCTTACAATAAAGAATAAATAAACAAAGATGAGGCAACGCACGTACTGGTATATCAGAGAAGCCGTCTAGCCAGTAAAACTGTTCGGTGTCCGGGCAATCGTCTACCATAGCCGGCCACCAAGGCCAACCGGGCAATCGAGCCCACACTACAGAACCCGCTCCAAATCTACTGTGTATGAGATCTTCTTCATCCCGTAAATGTATTGGATCCTCGGGAACAGAGCAACTCGCAAAATTTTTATCTATAAATAAAGGACCGTATCAATGGGTATGTCATCGATCTATTATACAAGTGCAAAGGAGATGTAGAAGAATACACTACCATCGACTTTCTAACTTATTTTTTATTTTATTGTTATTTCAAATTGTAGATTGTAAAAAGAGTGTGATATAGGAAGTGTGTCAACGAGAAGAGGCGTGTTGATGCTTCTATAACTTTAATTATACTGTTCTCTATTCTTAACTCTAATATATATATAGTCGTGAGGGCTATACCACACTACACCTCCCACCGACAAAAAAATAAAAAATAAATGAATACATTTGTTTTTTTTTAACTTATAAAAATAAATATATAACGTGTCTAATAATAACATAAATTACAAAAGTAAATATAAATAGGTATATTCTATGGGTAGTTCGGGTGGCCAGATCCCTCTACACCATAGTAATTTCAAGGTCACAATATAATTGGTATGATGTATCATGCATACATACAACATACTTATTTGACATAATTAGGTAACTCGCGTAGATCTAGTATAGTTGTACATTCATTTATATTTTAAAATACTCTGCTCTTATATATTTATTCAAACTTTTTCATCTCATTCCTTATTTTTGAGCTAGGCCTTTTTATTATCTTTTTTTTTTCATAATTCTTGTACGTACTTTATTTTCTTGATATTTTTGACCCTTAGCTAGCTTTATGTCTCTCTATTCACTTGTATATTTATTTATTATTTAGATACCGGGAATCGGAGTATTAATTCATTTCATTTATATTTTATTTCGTGATATTTATCACGCGGGTACTTTATAAATATGGCCCCCCCCCATTTACTTGGGTATTATATTACTTTTTCATAACATTTATTTCATTTTATTGGTACATTAATTTTTTTTATCATACTATCTCAAGGTAGAACTGTACCTTGGGTTGTGCGCACAACCTTGAGGTCTACGTTTAAGTCATTTTAAAAGGACTCCAACAATTGTCACGGAGGAAAACTAAGTTCACACTTTGATCCAATGAAGGATATGACCTCTATGTACCATTATTAAGGGTAACAAATTTAAGACTTCTCTGGTCCCCAACAGTACTAATATGAGTAAACTCGTTCACATCTCACTTGTACTAAGGTATTGTTCCCTAGTACCAGTTACACCCGATTTTATCATCCAATCATGGAAACATAACCTGCTCGAGAACTATATGCTTTACCAGTGATGGACGTTCCCGTATCTCTCCATTATTTATTTGTCAAGGTCAACTTTTGTTTTATTTTTATGTATTTCTTTACATTTATAGTATTTATTAACCATTTTTTAAATGAACCATAATTTTCACGTACAGGGCTCGCGTACATAGATGATTGATGACTACTATTTTATATTTCACTTTAGAAAAATATGGCCAATTTTTTATAGTACAAACCAATGAGTTAACTTCAGGCCCAAAAATCCCATTCTCCTTTTCAAATCAATCGACCGTCTAGAAGTTGGTGAAAATTACATTAAAACATTCTGTTACATAGATAGATAGATTTAACCTCAGATTATTTATTTTGAGTTTTTATCCGGATGATTTATTTTGAGATTTTTAAGTGGTAGAGCCATGCTGCAGCTATATTAGTAGTGTAGTTGTAGCACGAATGGGTCGACTCGACCGCGGCAGGACCACGCTCTCACAGAATACCAGCGTAAAATGGCAGCTTGACGCAGCTGTGTTTCGTATGGTGAGTGTAGAGAACCGGAGACCCTTTTTACTGGAAATTAGGCATTCCATCTTAGTCCTCACGTCTAAGAACGCATCTGCAATTTGATTCTTTATTGAGGATGTCTATGGGTCACAGCAACCACTTACCATCAGGTGGACTGTGTGCCCGTTTGTCACCTATCCTATAAAAAAAAGGTGCCGCTGCCCATCTCTTCCCTTTTCCTCTATCGCCTCTTACGACACGTGGGGATCCACTACCCCATATCATCCCATAGAAGGTAGTGGTAGCACCACAGGAATCTCAATTGCGAGAAAACTGCTGGTGACAGTAAATTCGACAATGTGGTTGTTCATGGTAGGAAACTCCTTGGAAAATTGTCGAAATAATTGATATAATAGATTTGGATTGTTAACTATCATCAAGATACTGTAGATGTAATCTTCACATTAAGAAAGAATAAAGAAGGTTAAAAGGTCTCCATGTAGTTTAGGCGGCGTTTGGATATCCACTACCCCATATCGTCCCGTGAGCGTTATAAGAGGCGAGAGAGGGAAACTAAAACAGGAGAAGGGAAGTAGCATTCTCCTACCAAGCGTGGCAACTATGGCAAAACCCCTATAAAGCAATTTGTGGGGAAGGTCTATCTTCAGCGTTGGACTTTTAAAGGTTGTAATGATATGGGCTAAATATGCGATTTCCAAAAATACACGACTTCTTTTACTGAATATAAAACGTTAAAACGTTAACGTATAAAACGTTCAAACCATATCATTAAAGACCACCACCTTGGATTAGCACTAGTGCATTAAAATGAAAAAACACAATTACAATATCAGGTTGTACAGACACAGTAGACATTTATACGTGGTAGAGCCACGCTGCAGCTATATTATGAGTAAAGATAACAAATTAAAAAAAATACCTGGGTTCATCGTTTGGCCATGTAGAAAGAATGAACGAGGAAAGAGTGATAAAGCAAATTTATGTTGCAGAAGTGAACGGCAGAGTCGGAAGGGACGCCCTAGACGAAGATTTATCGAACAAATTGGCGATACATTGAAAATAGGGGAGCCAGAGCCAGATTAGGAGTACCCTTAACCAACGCGCGTGTATGCGTAGATATATGGATGTAAAGGAGGCGAAAGAGGTGTGTCAGGATCGTGCCAAATGGAAGTCCGTGGTCTCTGCCTACCCTTCTGGGTGACAGGCGTGAGTATTTATGTATTATGTATATGTACCTGGGTTCATGTTACAGTACCACTTGTGAGGTAGCTCGTAACGATCGAGAACGTGTGGGAGATAACGCCAGAGGTTGCACTCATCGCATTGCGCCCACAGTCCCTCAGTTCTGCGTTTCTGAAGCCACAGCAATCTCTCACGATGCGAGAGACCAACCGGTTGACTAAGTATTTCCTTGTATACACTAAAAAGTAAACAGCCCTCCATTCTATCAATGGCTGACTTCTTTCAATTCTGAGGGTGTTTCTTTTGCTTTGCTAATGGTCTTGTGTTGTATCTTGCCAGTGCAAAAGTACAACCGTTACCGTTACCGCCGAAAACAGGTCTATAACCACAGCTGAACACAGGCCTCCCCCATGGATTGCCTCATTGGGAGGATATTTAACATAGTTGCCACACTTGGCAAGCGAGTTTTATTTATAATCGTTATTAGGAATACGCTGTTGCCCATCTCCTGGTTTGTTTCCCTCTGTCGCCTCTTACGACACCCACGGGATGATTTTTTTTTATAGGATAAGGGTGCCAAACGAGCACACAGTCCACCTGATGATAAGTGGTTGCTGCGGCCCATAGACATCTACATCTATCCTCTGTTACAAATCAAAATGTAGATGCGTTGTCACCCGTGAGGACTAAGATGGAATGCCTCATTTCCAGTAAAAAAGGCCTAACTGATATGGGGAAGTGAAGGTAAAATAATGTAACTGGTGATTTGGACAAATAAGCACTCATGCGACGTAATTTTGTCTATTAGGAAATTATCCTTTAGAATAATTTATTTCAAAAGTCCTTCACGATATGTTGATTAGTCATTGTGAAGATTTTTGGAAGATTTTGACGGCAGCTTGAGCCTGCACAATCGATGACAATATCTCAATGCGCCTAATCATAGGTACACATCATCTTGATCACTTGCTTCAGTTTCCACTGATAGTTCACATGCACACAATCGCACCACTTTTATACATCAAATTCCACCTCAAACCATCATTTAAAGAATAATACAGAAGCAGCAAACATCAATCCTCCGCCGGTCAATTTCCCGACAAACAATTTTGAGCGTTTTGTAGCGAGAGTGTAGCTTTCAATTTGTGTTGGTGAACGCATGCGGGATTTCTTACGACATTTTCTTGGTACCACATGGTAGAGCCACGCTGCAGCTATATTATGGTTGCAGCACGTACGGTTCAGCTCGACCGGGGAAGGGCGCTCTCACAGAATACCAGCGTAAAATAGTAGCTTAACACTGCTGTGTTTCTTATGATGAGTGTAGAGAACCGGAGACCCTTTTTACTGGAAACGAGGCATCTCAGTCCTCACTGGTGACAACGCATCGGAATTTTTATTTTTATACGAGGATAAATGTAGTTGTCTATGGGCCACAGCATCACTCACTTACCATCAGAGGGACTGTGTGCTTGATTGTCACCAGTTTTTTTTTTATTATTAAGGTAATAAATATTGTATTTTTAATGTAATGTAAATAAATGATGATAAATTCGTAAAATAAGATATACTTGTAACATATCTTGTAGGATAGGCAACCATCGACTTCCTGCAGAAAGTAGATGGATGCAGATGGCTCAGGATCGTGCTTTGAGGTATTCCTTGGGGAAGACAAATGTTCAGCAGTGGACTTGTGAATTGCGTATTTTTAATGACTTTTCGTAATAACGGTGATGATAACTAAATTCGTCAATCAAACTAAAATCAAACCTCTACTCATAAATGAGACGTTTACCTTTTTTACTATGTAGTATTTAATAAGACCTTACCTGCTTTGAGTGTTGCTTTCCTTCGTATCGTTAGTAAAATTTAAACGGCTGCTTGCTCTGCTTGAAGCAGATATGGCATCATTTCCCCCCTGTGGACATATTAATACACTCTTAAACAATTCAAATAATTTATCAATTTATTCATTTATTAAAATTTATTCATTAATTAATTTATAAGATCCTCAGAACGTCGGAAGTTAAAAAAAAAGTAATAATTAACCGCGACAAATATTAGTAAAATAAGATTTATTTAGACATTTAATAATGTTCTTCAGACCGGTTTTTGGTCAAGGCCACCACTAGCCATCTGCGCAGGACAGGATTACACGAATGAACGTAAACACAAGTTGCACTCTCTATTCCCTCACTCTCATAGTCCGAAGGGACGGTAATCCGACTCGACCGGAGACATATCAGACACAGGGCAAAAGGCTTTACGTGCTTACCAAGACACGGGGGTGAGACACCGCCAACTTCCTTACTCCGGGCAGCTACTGAGAATTTCTTCTAATTAATAATAATAAGAAGCTGCGGTTGCCAACCCGACTGCCTGCCATGACAACAATGCCAAACATCTTCCTTACGAGGCAATCAATGGGGGAGGTCTATGGTCAGCAGTGGATTTTTGATGGGCTGAAGTAATGATGATGATGACAAATGTTCAGGTCCTATAACCCGCAGCGTAGTAACCAAATATTGTGATCACTAGGATACTAATGAAATTAACATTTGTTTAGTTCGGGTTGTGTAATCGTAAAACTCTAGATATGATCTGCCTATAAATCTGATAAAACTAAGTGGCGTTCAGCACTAGCTTGAAAAAATCTTGACTTAACTGTAGCTACGGGGTGAGGGGGTGGGGGGGAGGCAAATAATGTGTCATTAAAAAGCATTGTTCCTTGGATAAAAATGAACAATATTTCCTTCTATATATCCCCTCCCCATAGATTGCCTGATGGGGGAGGGGGTATGCATACGACACCCACGGGGTGATATTATAGGGTAGGTAATTATCTTACGCCGCCACGCGGTATAACTTCTGAATTTTTCTCTGGGACTAAGCGCTTGCTCTAAATATCACAGTACGCAAGCTACCCGAGTTCAATCCCGCCGGCATCAATAAGAAATTGTTAATTGCTATTTTAAATGCTGATTTACCATGTGTTCCACGAAGACGTAAAACATCGTGAGGAAACGTGCATGTTTAAGAAATTAAATATTTCAGACATGATGAGAAGTCCGCCCACACTCCATTGCCCTAAAATTCTCTAAGTAATGAGGCCTGTGCCCAGGAGTGGGACATATATAATATATAGGCTGTAACTTTATAGCACGGACAACAGTACAGTCGAGTACGGTCACAAAAATAAATTAAATTTTAAAATTAAATTTTTCTATGCAAGATTAACTTTTTGGCGCGATTATTGAAAATCAAAAATAACAATTAACTCCTTACAACAGATTGTCGAGCTTCTTCAATAGGTTCACAAGCTGTATCGACAGGTAACGATGCTTCCTTTGTCATTTTTAAATTATAGATCACAGGTATGAGCAAGATGTACTTGAAATATTAACTAATAACCAACTAGTAACAGAGTTAGCGCACCAGATGTTTTCCCTCCAAAATTGTTTTTTTTTTCGTTACTACAACTGTACACAAGAGGGAGCAATTGAGGCTAGTACATTTTTATGTTCCAGCAAGATAACATTCTGTATAAATATTAATAAATATAAACAATAAAGTATTTCGCAACTTTATGTTCATATATAAATTAAATAATAATTTAATGTCCATTATAATTACAAAAATAATTTCAAAGCCAAAACTATAATAAAATTTGTTAAATTATTATGATATTTAACAGTTTAGTCTATAATCTGGAGTAGGTAATAAGTAATGAGTGAGCTCGGTAAATCTAGCCTTCTAGGTTTTTTTTATAGTTTTTATCTATAATTTTATTATTAACACACACAAAAATTTATTTCGTAATGAAATAAAATTAACGATCAAGCATTGGACACTTATATTATATTTAATTATAGAGAAAATTAATATGCTTTATAATTATTTCATAATTTACACATTAATAAAACTAATTTTATAAAGTTTTTCGCATTTATATAACTTTATTTTTATTGTTTAGGGAATTAATCGCGACGTTTCGGGTACTCATGAGTAATGAGGTGTTTGACATCACAAGGTCATAGTTAACTTGAGTTACCTTTAACCTTTAGCTTTTGGATATTAATTTTTGGTCCGATCGAAACAGAATGAGCTTACAGTATTTTATATGCTTGGGTTTGGATTTAATTTTATTAATTACTAGCTGCTCCCCGCGACTTTACCCGCGTGTGATAATTTATTACGATTGGATTTCATGGGTTTTAATTTTTTTGCGCGGACTCTTATTATTTTTCTAAAATAAAAGTAGCCTAATTTACTCCTTATAACATCAGCTATCTGCCAGTGAATGTTCCGTCAAAATCGATCCACCCGTTTCGGAGATTAGCTGGAACAAACTGACAAAAATTTTAAAAATTATATTTTTTTTATAAGTACCGTATATACTTTCATATGTATTCAGTAAACAGCTGTTACTTTGACATTATAAATAGACACTCCAATTTTATTTATTTGTATAGATAGGCAATCAAGCAGGATACCATCCAGCATTCTTCTCCATTAAAATTTGAATGTTTTTGTTCAAAAGAAGTTCACGCCGGGAAGTCTGCACTCTATGATCATGTTCAAGATCATCCCCGCCAATACATCAGATTTGATAATCCATAAATCCTTGCAAAAAAGAATACCGATTCCTAACAAGAATAATTCGCAAGGTTATTGAAATAAATAAAAAAAAGATGGCTGGGTGTTACCACCTTAAATTAGTCTTGATAAAATTATTGTTCATTTTGCACAACACATTATAGTTTCCGCGAAAGATAATGAAAAGTAACCTAAATCGCAATTTAATACGTTTAGAACACCGATTAAAAATAACCTTGCCGGGTAACCGTTCTCCACTTAAAGAGGTTTTTTTCTATACCTACATGAATGAATCACTTTAGAATTTTTTACTTTCAGACCAAATAATCTAAATAGAAGATAATATTTTTTTCTTGACTGAACAATTACAGGTATTAGGAGCAATGTTTTCCTCCTTTCTAACTTTAAATAAATGTTTCAAATGATTTTATTTCTCTCGTAAATGTTTTAGCAAATACATTCAGTAGGGCTAATTTTTGTGATACAAAGCAAGGAAAACCATAATTTGATATCAGTTTGATACCAATAGGGGTAGGCAGAGACTACGGACATCTCTTTTACATCGATTTTCGAACTTTCCAAATAACTTTCTATAAATAGATTTAACAGCCTTAGAGGCTTCATAACTCTATCTGACACCTTTAGATAAGATAAGATAAGATAATCATTTGTTGTCATAACTGTGAAACTGTGTACATGAGGTCTTACAAACACAGAGTATACTTAGTTACAACAGTTTGTCCATTTCGGACGCACAATATAATTAAAAAAAATAAAGCACTACAATAAATCAATAATTATTTCTAAAAAATTCATTTAAATTATAGAAACATTTTGACAATAACCATTCTTTTAGCTTTTTTTTTTAAATCGTGGGCTCTATAATGATTTAATGTATATAGGTAAATGGTTAAAGATTCTCATTCCCCTTATTAAAGTACTTTTACTATAAATGTAACTAGATGATTTAACAATGAACACATCAAAAGAATATTATTGAGTTCGCTAGTTCTTTTTTGATTCTTTTTTAGTATTGAGATGTTGTTGGTTATCTTTGACAAACACAGAAATTTCAAGTATGTATATAAAAGTCGTCGTCAGGAATTTAAAATCTATAAATACATTTCTTAATGAGTCATATTCATTAATATTATAGATAATCCTTAAGCAATTTTTTCTGCAAAACAAATGTAGACTGAATGTCAACAGATTTGCCCCAGAATATAATTCCATTGTCAGAAGAAGATAGACATGACCATAGTAATAATTTTTTGCTACATCTCTCGATGCTACATTATTCAATATTGATATGACGTAACAACAACTTGGAAATCCTACTGTTTATTTTCTCAACATGTGATTTCCAGTTCAAATGACTATTAATGGTGACACCCAGAAATCTCATGTCATGCACTTTCTCAATTTTTTCGCCGTCGATTACAACATTTAATTCAATTGGAGCTTTTTTATAATTCCTAAATTCTATTAGTCTTTATAAATGCCAACGAAGTTCATGTAGGTCTCTATGATCCTGACACAAGCACTAGAGTCCCTATAAAGATATTTTAATGCCCGTATCCAGCCTTTTCCAAGTCTAAAAATGTACAGAAAACTTTCTGGTTTTTGGAGAATAAATTCTACGTGATTATGCGCGAAAAAAGATCTGGTCTGTACATGCTATACCCTTTCTAAATCCAGATGACACATCCCCAATTTTTGTATCAGTTTCTTTGGTAACTCTTTCAACCAACAGATTTATTTATTATTTATTTATTTATTTAGCACACAGTTTCCCTACAATGCTAATTAGGTTGATTCCATGGTAATTTATACAGACCTGCTTTAAACTAGTTTCTTGGCACTTGCTTAAGCATAAATAATTAAATTGAGTGTACAATAGGCTTGTCACAAATACAGTTCTCAAGATGTCTAATCATACTTTGTCATACCCAGCTTCCGGACCTCTTTTCATGCTTTTCATTGCTTTCGTTATTTCATTAACATTAATCTCATTGCCTTCTTTCTTTTTGTCAGAGTTTCTTGCAAACTTGAAAACTTTGTCTTTTAAAGTACAGTAATTCTCATCTCGCACAACATTCATTATAGACTGCAATGATAGTTTTAACGAGTTTCCAGGACATTATCAGCGACTGATCCTACCACTGAGCCAAAGATACTGGGTTTAATATGTGTGTAATAACAGAAATTGAATATAGTAATATAATACTAGTAGTATATACTAGTAGTAGTAGTAGTACTAGTAGTAGTAATATAGTAATATACCTAAGTAAAATAATACTAATTGTACTCTATGCTCTATCACCCTCGCAGAAACGAGAGGCCTGTGTCCAGCTTTGATACGCATTATAGTCTGTGACTTTAAACCTAAAAAATGTAGATGCGTTTTTTTATGATAGCAGTATAAACAAGTAGAAGCTCCGTATTTACTACAAGGATTGTTGCTCACCTTTCTCTGCGGGGTATCTTCCCTTTTCCGCAGAAGGCTATTAACATTATAATTATCAGCCTTAGAACATCTCGTTCTTTTATGCCAAATTTACCATCGAATGACGCAAAAGTGTGTGTTTAGATTTCCTCTTATTACTTAGTACCTACTTAATCTTGTATTTACTATGTGTTTCTAGAATAGTAAAAAGATGTTTTCTATAGTAATGTGTTTACTTTTTTGATATAAAAATTTTGTTTAAAAAAAATATAAATCCCGGAAAATATTTACGATTGTGCCGATAGCGTTAGCAATCTCGATACATACAACTCTAATAAACTAGTGCTTACGTAACTCTTGCGTTGACTATTGCAATGCTACGAGGGAATGTTTTCCTAATGTTAAAGTTTTATTTTACTTAACAACCAGTTTGTTTGAGGTTACTCAGTAATTTATGTTTGGGGAAAAATATTTTTTTACTATTATTTTAAATCGGCCTTTTCCTCTAACTCATAGGCTATTTAATTAAATTCAATACCAACACTTGACGATAGCGAAAAACCATGTTTGTATTTGATTAATGTAAACGTTAGGGTAAATTATAAAATGTTTATTTATGATACATATTAAAACAATAGAAATACATAATAAAATTTAAATACATAACAATAATACCAGTAAGTGTCTATAAGTTTATAATTTAGTAGGTATTACTTTTTATGATCGAGAAAAGTAGTGAACTTCAGCCCACTCTGAGACGTCACCATTAGTAAAAGTTTGAAAAGCTATTAAAACAAAGGTTTACATACTGCAAACAAGTTTTATTAGATTATTTTGATATTACAGTACCTAAATAAAAAAATCGCCCCCCTTTTATATTTATTTAAATCATTACCTAAGGTTTTAAAATATTTCATGAAATAAAATCGGATTAACAAAGTTACTTAAACCAAGAATATTTATTATAGCCCAGTCGACATATTAAGCATAAAAATCAGAATAGGTATTACAATAGCCCTGGTAATTGTTCTTACTAATTCAACAACTTCATGGTGCTTGACAATACGCGTATAATTGTAATGTCTACACACAAAACCCAGTAACAATGGATTGAATATCTTTTGTTTTTACACAGTGAAACAACTACATATTGGATTTGGATTAGTAATGGAAAGCAGTAATTATTTGCATGTAATTATCATTTATCCGTTCCCGCCTTACGCATAATTTTATTCAACAACATTTAATGTGTTTTATCGAAATTAATTAACTCCCAGAGGTAAAATTTGAGTCACATGATATTTTTTCCAAT